CTATGAAATCCCATCTCAATCCTAGATGAACTATGTTGTGATGTGTGTCAAAACGTATTCGTTCGAAGTCCAGAGCATGTATTTCTGACATCCGCGCTGCTGTTGCCAAGGCGATCAGAAATAGCGTTTTCTGTGTAAGAAATTCGTAAGATGTTCTTTCTAGTGGTTCGTACGCATCACTGGTGAGATGCTGTAACACTACCTTTAGATCCCAAGCCGGCGCTTTAAATTTCTTTTGTTGGTCTTCCAGCTTAAAAGAGCGTAGCAAGGCCAGTAACTCTGGCACTTTCGTCAGTTTAACACCTGTCTTCATGGCGATAACTGAGCTGAGAGCCGCTAGGTATGTAGATAATGTAGAACCTTTTAATCTCTTTATTTGTCTGAGATGACAAAGATATTCCGCCACTTGAGGATGTGTTGCTTTCATTGCTGTGAAGCCTTTCCTCGAAGCATATTTCTCAAAACTTTGCCACTTGTCGTCATACAAGTTACGAGTAGATCTGCGTAAAGCTAGTGTAACTGCTTTCGCTGCTCTGGCGGAGTATCCTCTTTTCGACAAGCAAGTCGTGATACGTTCCATGCGTGTAGGTGGAATGACCTTGGATACTTGTGAACTTGCTTGGTGTGAGGATGAATTAGTAGGTTCGACCAAACTGGAGGTTGTATTTTTGGTTTTCCGAGTTCTTGTAAGAGAACAGGAAGCCACGTTCTTGCCAGCCAGTAGGGCGTGACCAAAATCAGTTGCAGGTTCCTCGTCTGCCTGATTTTCTGTAATACTAGTGGTATTAGCACTGGAGGAGGGAACACGTACTCGTTTAGTCCTTCCCATGGGATGCTAAAGCTTCTGTCGCCCATGCTTGCGGATCGGGAATTGGAGAGACGAATGTTGCCAGTTGATTGTTGAATCTTGTGGCGAATAGATCTATGAGTGGAGATCCTATCGTCTGTATGACGCATCTGAATGCTTCTGGATGTAACATCCATTCTGTTGGGGATGGTTGAAGTGGTCGAGATAGCGTATCTGCTATTACATTCTTGGCTCCCGGAATGTGGCATGCTTTTATATAGATGTTTAGCTTGTCTATTATGTTGAAGAGTTGAAAGCTGAGGTCTAGAAGATTCCAAGATCTTGTTGATCCTTGTTTGTTTATGTAGAATGCCACTGTTGAGTTGTCCGTATGGATCATCAATTTTGCGTTTCTTAGTATGTTGGACCAATGTAGAAGGGCATTTACTACTGCTTTCATCTCGAGCATGTTGATATGCAGATTCTTGTTTCGACCATTTCCCGGCTGCCACTTCGTTATCGAGGTGAGCTTCCCAGCCTTGAAGTGATGCATCTACGTAGAGATGAGTGTTGCACTCCACTCTGATAAGTAGATTCCTCCGCGAATATTCGACTTCCGAGTCCACCATAGAAAACATGGTTTCAATCCGTCCGGTAGTCCGAAGGAGTCCAGACTATTGAAATGGGCGTTTACGAACACCTGTAGTGGGCACAATTGTAGTCTTCCTCTGTGAGTCATGTCTTGTGCTGACGTGAGAAGACTGAGTAGGCTCTGTCAACTTCGTAGTGGTAACGGAGAGAGTAGTGCTTGAGATACCATGACTTGTTTCTAGACCCAACGATCCTCTGAGACGACCTTGTCATTCTGTAGTGAGATGAAAACATCTTCCCAGAATCTGCTCAAGTTCTATGTTGTAAGTAAGAAGACAGTGGAACCCTTGCCATGTTCGTAAGGAAGCGAAGCAACATCCGGATCTGGGACTGCCCTCGTTGTGAAGGCTATATATAGTAGACTGGCTGCCGCGAGCAAAATTCGTCAAACGTATGTTGTTGCAATTCGCCGGATAAACAGTCTTCAATCCGCTGACAGGGAAGGTCTCTAAATCCCGTAAGACCGTCAAATCACGCTGTACCCTGCTAACTGGACTGTAAATGGAGTCCTCCTCCCACGTTGAAATGTTTACAATCTGGCGACAACTTCCTGACATGTGAGCGATGTCCGACTTCTGCGCAGGGCGTCGTCTCTCATGGACCAATCAAAATGCAGCATTTTGATTCCTTTCAGATTCCCGCGATGTGACGTCATCGGTGTTGCAGGAAAAAGATCCTTGTAAAATCTTGTGCAGTCGTTGATTTCTTCATTAACACTCGGCCTAGTCCGTAACCTCCCGAAGTTACACGAGTGACCACGTGTATAGAGGGCAGAATGGTAAACGCGCGAAAGATTCCGCTGCGTAATACAGATGTAGGTAGACTGTCTCCCTGGCTGCTGTGACTGTTCTTTCATTCCTGAAGATAATGCAGTCGTCATCTTATACAGATGATCAGTTGAAATTCCATACTTGCTTAACGCTGTTACTTGTAGACTGTATTCATCGGTCTCAATGAAGTGTCGTAAAAAAAACCCTTTGTGTTGAATACACAAAGGTTTTTGTAGAGTTGATACTTGCAACTTCAGTGTAAGTTCTACCCCGGTAGTTGTTGATGATCTTGTAGTTCACATCAATCTCTGAAGCCTTCATGAAGGGTTCCATGTGGAGTAGTGGAAATTCCCTGGCTTGGACGTCGGGGATATGTTGACTGTGGAACTTCATAGCCTTACCAACGTTGCGCTGAAATTCTCAGGTATTAGCTATCAAGTCGTTATCTCTGATCCGCGATGACGTGACTGCCTGAAGATCTACACGCAGGTGAATGATCTGTATATGGACATGAGTCCCTCCTGGATTCTTAAGAAGCATCTTTAACCTTCGTGAATGTGTAGGTTCTCAGCGTCGAGGAGTGTTTTTGTGCAGTTAATCCCGCTACCCTCTTCTGATGTAGATATATCTTTTTGAAGATCCTGAATCCTTTCTGGAGATCAGTCTGAAGATCTGCATGATCGAGATGAGGGTCTCGTTGATAGCTCTTGACCTGGCTAGGCCGAAGAAGGTTCGTCTGGTTACTGTATCTAACTGTGAGACAGGGTCGATAGGTGGAATTGTGAGTGTGTCTATATTATCATTCAACATCAAGTACGAGAGTGCTTCATTGGCCTCCTTAGAGGGTGATGCGAGTTCCAAACCGTTGGTCATCCATGACTTGTTTTCAGAGTCAGAAAAAAATAATTCCGCCGTCATCTTCCGATTTAGCAGTATCATGCTCTGAGGATTGATGTCTTCAAGTGTCTGGAGATCTGTAAGGCGATCTGTATGAAGATCTATGTGGTGACCTGCGTGGTGATCTGTATGGAGACCTGCGTGGTGACCTTCATGGCGAACTATACGTTCGCGCGAACCTGTGTGTACGTGAACGGCTCTGTCGAGGGTTGGAGTCTTGTGACGAATCTCTGTGCCTTCGCACGGGTGTAGATTCTCTTCTCCTTGGTAACGAACCCTTGCGTGCAGGTTCGTGACGAATGTCCGCATCTGAGGTAGATGACAATCTGCGTGGGTTCGGCGAACGTCTTATCCTTGAGGGTTCGCCGAACGTAACTGGTGTAGGCTCTAGGTTGGTAGGACTGCCAGACCTTCGTGCGGACGTTGTAGTCACGCTTGTGTGCAGGTTCATGACGAATGTCCGCGTCTAAGGTAGATGACGATCTGAGTGGGTTCGGCGAACATCTTGTCCTTGAGGGTTCGCCGAACCTAACTGGTGTAGGCTCTACGTTGGTAGGACTGCTGGAATCTTCATGTAAGCTTCGCAGGTTGTTGGTTCCCAAGCTCAGTTGTCCTTCACTCGGGTTCGTAGCAGACGTCGTCGTCTTTGTCGCAGCTCTCTCGCGTGCGAACCATTGTTCCATCAGATCCAACATCTGTTGGGTAAATTGCTGCATAAAGGTGCCCTGGTTGAAGGTCTGTGTTGTCTGCTGCAGTGACAACGCATCTGAGATGGATGAGGCTTCTTCCGAAGGGCGTTGTACCTCTCATGACCCCAACGTCTGCATTGATAGGTTGTCCTGCGTGGTCACGGTAGAAGATGCCTTCGTCTTCTTCTTAGGCGTGATCTCAGGGATGAGGATGGGTGGCTCATCGTAGACATCTACTTCATCCAGAGGGACGATCTCAGCTGAAAAAGACCTCTTTTTCTGCGTTGCCCCATGTGGAGACTTCGACGAAGTCTTAGCTGCAGTTGACTTCTTCCTCTGGGAAGATGATGCCCTAGTCTTCTTGGACTGCGATGAGGAATTATCAGATGTAGATGACCTCTTCCTCGAGCCAGAGTAGTCTACGACAGCAACATCCTCCGTTGACGACCCCGGTAGACCACTGGGATGGTGAATCTGCGTAAACACCAACTGCCGGTCCTCTGCAAGATTAGCCGGTTTAGACATGTCGTGTAAATCTCGTCTGAACCTGTCCTTTGCATGTCTAGACAGATAAAATGAATATTTATAAAATGCAATATCAGACAGGTGAAAACACAACTGACAACGAAAGTCAGATAAACATGTGGGCTTGCAATTAGGACATAGGTTATGTGGATCAACAGCAGACAATCTCTACCTACAACAAAACAAGATTTTATCAATTGTAAACAATCTGAACAATCACGTAAAAACGTGATAAAACAGAAAAAAATGAGAAATAATTTCAAACGATATTGTAGGTAAATGTTAACTAAAGCCTTATACAGCTAATTTAGAAGAAAGGCCTAAATAATAAAAGGATATAATGCTGTATAGGGGACCAGGTGCTCTCACAACCGCCCACTCGGGCGAATCAGGAGAGAGTGGGGAGCATGGTGACAGGTGGCGCCGTTTCCTGCCAAAACCTTGGGAAGGGAGATGACTCCTGGTAAGTGATTTTACGTCTGCTTTTTTTGAAGGGAGCTTCAAAAAGGGGATTCAAGTGTTCCACTAGCATTTGGAAGAAAAGGGAGACAAGCAATAAGCAATGCGTCGGGATACGGAACAATATACACGGTAATATGTATTAAGCTCAATCTTGCCCTTTGAAGAACTATAGATTTTACCATGAAACACCCCAATTCTCTGACGATACAAGTCCAGGGATAGAAATGTATTTTTTTCCAAGGGTGCCTTAGGGCACCCAATGTAAAATTCAGGTGTGCCCTAACACATTGAAGTGTGCCAAGGATCATGATGACACTGTAATAAATATTTATCAATATAAACAATACAGAAAATGACTTTGATGTTCTTTTTAATTAAACACTGTCACATAAAGCTTTTTTACTCTACAGGGATTGTTAATTTTGCATCAAGAAAACTTTAGTTACTCACTGACTTGACTCTTCAACATCAATACTAGAGCTATTACTTAAGCTGACAGTTCTAGCCTAGGGCCATAAGCAGGGGTCCATCTCCTTGGACCTTTAGCCCCCTTCATCCATCTTGCTATAGCCCCTCTGGGGTTGTAGTCTGCAAATGGGGTCTGGCACTGGGCAACCTTTCATGAGTTGAGAGAGGGTGGAGGGCTTCAACCTGGATCTCCAGTCTGTTTTTACTCTGCTCATCATGGAGAACCCTCTCTCACACTCAGCAGAGGACACAGCTAGAACAAGAGATATCTGTACAAGGGACAGTATGTTACTGTACCTCTTGTACACTTTGTCTTGTCTCATCACTTTAGACCAAAGATCTATGTAGGAAATGTCTGGAGTTCTCTTGAAGAGATCTGAGCCCTCCATGAGAACATCTGGCATTTCAGTGAGGCATGACTCCTTGGATATATCATTTTTCATGAGGTATTCTGTGAAGTGGTTTGTGATTTGTTTTACTTCTTCCTTCCCAAACGAAGCAAACCCATCTTTATTCTGTGGCCAACTTACAGGAGTGAAGATGTGGAAGGCCTCCATCACACCACTATTGCCTTCAAACTCTGCAATCCTACCATACAAGGATTCAGCTGTGTTTTTGGTTCGTGTTTTGAACTCTTGTCTTGGCTTTTTTATGACAGTAGCTTAAGTGGAACAGCCCCTCTTTTTCTTTTCAAGTTGTACAGTCTTGTATTTACCATCAACTACCTCCTCATTGAGAAAATCTACAGCCATCTTATCCACATCAGTTTCTGTCATCTTGGCACAGGCAGCATGCATCCTGACTGGGATGAGATCAATGGAGGTGTCATTGTCCTGGAAAACATCTGATAACATGGCACATGCAGCAAAGTAAAACAGCATCATGTGCATGAATAGGACAAACTCTAGTAACTTCAAACGATCCAATATGTGCCTTGCTTTGGCTCCGGAGTCACCTCTGTTGGTCATGCTCACTTGAGTACAGTGTGTGTAGATATCTATAAAGTCAGTGTTCAGTGCCATCAGGGCTCTGCGTCTATGCCCTGCCCACCTTGTCCCATATATGTTCACTGGCCTAACCACCTTAATGCTAAGGGCTTCTCCTGTTTCCTGTAGTCCAGTCCAGTTTAGTGGAGAATAATGGTAGAACTTATAGACGTCCTCCATGAGCTTGTCAAGAGAACTCAACAAGGACAGATCTTTCCCAGCATTCTTCATGGCCAGCTCCAATCTGTGTGCGATACATGGAATGGGTATCACATGTGGGACATCATTTCTTAATTTTGCCGCCACCCCTCCTTTTCTGCCCATCATTACTGGTGCTCCATCTGACGTAAAAGAGACAACTTTTTCTTTCCAGTTAGGAAAATCTCCAATCTCTGTCAAAGCTTTGTCAATAGCTTCATATATCCCTGCTGCATCTGCTTTTTCTAACCCCCAAACACACAAGAACTTTGTAACTGGTTTACATTCAACCTGCTCAATGTATCTCACATATATTATTTCCTCTTCAGTCACTGAACTGTCAGTACTACCTGTGATAATATAATATACCATCAATGTACATCGAGTAGAAACTATATCCTATCATCGTCAAGCACGCCGTGTGGCGTAGGAATATGTATCCCTGCACTTCATCATGGCGGATTAAACTAGAAGTATCGTCTGCTTTGGTTGTCCCTTCCTTACCACGAGTACGACCGTCGAAACTGCACACAGAAACATAACATGGTGGCAGCGTAAGAAACGAACCTCGACTCGAACCTATGAACTATGGTTTGTGTCATGATGACGGTTTCTTTGTCAATGAAACGAAGATTTGTGCGGTATAAGCCGACTGGCGCTAGTGCTTGCAGAAAGAGCGGTCAGTAACGGACTTCGAATTTGATTGATTTGAACTGATTTCGTCACCCTGTACCTCTGTTTAGGTCTAAAGTGTCGGTATCAAGTACGTTCAAACATAAGGAAACATCCGAAAATATATATTGTGAACTTTATCAAGAGATTGGAACTTTTACTATTTTTAGAACTGTCGTCGCTGCAAGGAGCTCACTAATAGCAACCACGTGATAAGATGGCCGCGCCCATGGATAAACATCCTGTTATCGCTACTCGATAAACGGTGAAATAGCACTTACTGGAACTGAACATTCCTTACGCAAACAAGCATGGATAACATAACTACACCAAAGTTAGACTGGTCAAGCCCGGATTTAGCGGAGGCATTTTGATTTTTTCGCCAAAGATGTGAACTTTATTTTTCTTTGAAAAATATCAAAGACGACAAACGTGTCGACCATATCTTACTATTCGCCGGTGACGAGGGAATAAAAGCATTCAACTCTTGGACGTTGACAGAAACACAAAGGAAAGACTCCAAATATATTTTTGAAAAATTTGAATCACAGATTGAACCAAGTGTGAATTACAGATTGCAATGCCTATACCTTCAAAAATTCAAGCAAAATGTGGATGAAACAGTAGACAATTATATGTCAAGATTAAGGCTTCAAGCGCTTAGGTGTAAATTCAAACAAGATGAGATGAATGAGAGATTGATAGAACAATTGATATTAGGAACAAAGATGCCAGAACTTCAAAAAGAGTTACTGGGCAAAGATGACAAATTAACGTTAGAACAAGCAATGGACTCAGCACGAGTTCAGGAAGCTTCAATTAAACACATGGCCCAGCTACAAGGTGCTCAGGAGTCCAGTGTAAATGCCATAAGACGGGAACAACACCCGCGTGTACCTGCAAGTGAACAGTGTGGGAGGTCACACACACAGCGCCAGCCCTGCCCTGCTCATGGGACATTTTGTGAAAGGTGTGGAGGGCTGAATCACTGGAAGAGTATGTGTAGAAGTAACATATCAAACCATCGAGGACGAGCACGTCAGCGTGGCCACAGAAGAGGCCGAAGTCACTTGAGGGTAAGAGGTCGTTCCAGGCCTCATCGAGAAAGGAATATCCACTCTTCAACAGGCGAAAACCCTGAGGATTTCGAACAACACTTCGAGACCCTTACTTTCCAGACCATTGACGTCATCAAATCAGATTGCACTGAGGACGACAGAGACGAAGTATTCACAACTATTGATATCTCTTTGGATAATAACAGCCCTGCTCATCTCAAGGTGACGCCACAACAATACTGAGTGCATATAATGGTACCAGGATACCGCAGTATGGCAAGATAACCATACCCTGTCATTACAAGGGTAAGGATAGTAGAGCAGTATTTTATGTTGCTGACTCAGAAGGCCCTATTATCTGTGGACTTCCTACCTCGCGTAAACTAAGCCTAGTTACCCTCCACTGCGAAGTTAAACAGACTCCTGTGAACTCAATACCAGATAAAGATGGACTTTTACGTATGTACCCAGACCGTTTCCAAGGTATAGGAGACTTCAAAGGAAAGTTCCATATCACCATTGACCCTACAGTCACCCCTGTAGTCCATACTCCAAGACGATGTCCTATACATCTCAAGGAGGAAATTCAAGCTGAATTGGATGGGATGGTGAAGATGGGAGTTATCACAAAGGTTAACGAACCGACAGATTGGGTTTCGACCTGGCCTACAGCCGCAAGGCCAGTGGACAACTACGAGTTTGTTTAGATCCCAAAGATCTTAACCAGGCCATAAAGCGACCACATTACAAGACCCCTACATTGGAGGAATTCACATACCGTTTCTCGGGAGCCAGAGTCTTCTCCAAGCTGGACGCCCGACATGGCTATTGGTCTGTCTCTCTAGATGAAGAGTCAAGCAAGCTCACTACTTTTAACAGCCCATTTGGTCGTTACCAATTTCTCAAACTGCCATTTGGTCTCAGTCTGAGTCAAGATGTGTTCCAAGAAAAAATGGACCACATACTCACCAACTGCCCAGGTACAATATGTATCGCTGATGACGTTGCAGTATTCGGCAAGACGGAACAGGAGCATGACAAAAACATGAACATACTGATGAAAAATCAGCAAGAGAACATGGTCTCGTGTTCAACCCAGACAAATGTGAAATCAAGTGCGACAAGATTAAGTTCTTCGGACTTGTATTTGACGCTGAAGGTGTCCATCCCGATCCTGAAAAGGTAAACGCCATCAGAGACATTCCACCACAATGTGATGCAAAGAAGGTACAAGAGTTTCTCGGCATCGCAACCTACATGGGACCATTCATCCCAAATCTCTCTGAACACTCAGCTCCTCTGAGAGAACTCATCAAGAAAGACACAGAATTCACATGGAATCAGTCCCACCAAGCTGCATTTGACAAGATAAAGGAGAGTGTGTGCAGCGAAGTAACTCTAACCTATTTCAACCCACAAGTCGATTCAGTTGTGAGAGTCGATGCATCTACAAAAGGACTTGGAGCTGTTCTCCTTCAGAAGGATAAACCTGTAGCATTTGCCTCCAAATCACTCAGTGGAACGGAGCAGAGGTATGCAAATATCGAACGTGAGATGTTGGCAGTGGTGTACGGATGAGAGATTCCATACCTTCTTGTATGGGAAGCAATTTACTGTTGAATCCGACCACAAACCCCTTGAGATGATTTATCACAAGAATCTATCAGCAGCTCCACAGAGGCTCCAACGCATGCTATTAAGAGTTCAACCATATGACATGAAAATCAAGTATCGTCCTGGTAAGGACATGGAACTCGCAGATGCCCTCTCGAGATCTCCTACACCAAACAGTGTGACCATAGACTTGGACACTCGTGTAGACATTGTCCAGTTTTCAGAACAGAAACTGAAATCCCTCAAAGAAGAAACTCGACGTGACGCTGAGCTACAAGCCCTGAAAGAAACTATTCTGGCAGTGTTCGCGAATAGTGTCTGACCCTCTGACAAATCTGGCAGATACGCCAACGGTCCGATAGAAGTCTACAACCCAACGGCCCCAGTGTCCGACTGTATATTTCACACTGACTTTGACTGAAGTTGTTATCTGTGACATGTGACACTTGTTTGCTGTTTATTTTATCTTAATTTTTCTTATGTTTGTTATTAACTTCAATGCCAATTACAAGAAATGTTAAATCTGAAATGTGTTTAATTTTATTCCATAGGTCCTGTGAATTTTCAATGGGTCAGACAGACATCTTAAACTTACAGGACCCAATGTCCTGTTACTTTGAAACACCATTCGTGAACACTGTTCTGGCAGGATGGCCAGAACGCCAGAAATCACTGCCTGTCCCAATGAGACCCTACTGGTCTTTCAGAGATGAACTGACGATAGAAGATGGCATACTCCTTAAGGGAGATTGTGTTGTTATCCCCGACGACTATGAGGAAAGAAATTCTGCACAAACTCCACGAGGCTCACCAGGGCAAAGAAAAAACAAAACTGAGAGGTAAGTACAGTGTATTCTGGTCAGGAATAAACCATGATATTGATGAGATTGTGAAATCTTGTCACGTTTGCCAAGAATTTCAATATTCTCAGACAGCTGAACCCCCTGTTGCAGCATGAATTACCTACACGACCCTGGCAAGTCCTAGGTACGGATCTGTTCTACTTCTCAGGAGATGAATACCTTATGCTGTGTGACTATTATTCCAAGTTCCCGATTGTCTGGAAAATAACTGGGACTGGAGAAAGTCATGCCATCATCAAGGCACTGAAGGCCATATTTTCAGAACAAGGCATCCCTGAAAAACTAGTAAGTGACAACGGCCCACACTACACATCTGCCAACTTTGCCAAAGAATGGAACATCTAGCCCACATTACCCTCGTTCCAACGGGTTTATAGAGAGACAGATACAAACTGTCAAGAACACATTACAGAAGGCAAAAGTTTCTCATGTTGACTACGACAAAGCACTGTTGGTACTACGGACAACCCTGATCGATCACCATATTCCATCACCCTCAGAACTCCTCAATGCACGGAGAATGAAAACAAATCTACCTGTTAGAGTCAGGAATGAAGATTACAACAGAGACAAACTAACAGAACATCTAGAAACTCGCCAAATGAAGCAGAAGTACTACCATGACCAACATGCTGGCAGTGAGTTACTTCCCCTGGTACAAGATCAACACATCCGAATTCAGGACCAGCTGTCTGGTAACTGGAAACCAGGCATCGTGGTGCAAAAAGCTAAGGAGACGCGATCATACGTGGTGTCCACCCCAGAAGGTAGATTGTTACGGAGGAATAGGCTGCACCCCCGAGAGGCACATACCCCAGCTAATGTTGGACCAGCCGAATCTGCCAGTCCTCCTCCAACAACAGACAGGCAGCCACTCCACCAACATGATGTCCCAGCACCAGAAGTGACCCGCACCAGGTCAGGCCGGATTGTGAGACCGCCAAAACACTATGACGACTGAAATGTCTTACTCATCTGATAGCGGATTCAAGGTAATCCTCATATTATGTTTCAAGTTAATTTCCAAATGACGATTACTCAACTTAACAAATATAACCCTAAGCGCCGATCTCTGCCAGGACTATAACAATCTCTCTCACAAATCACATGGACTCTAATCGTTAATTGAATGAGAGGGATGTGATAATATAATATACCATCAATGTACATCGAGTAGGAACTATATCCTATCATCGTCAAGCACGCCGTGTGGCATAGGAATATGTATTCCTGCACTTCATCATGGCGGATTAAACTAGAAGTATCATCTGCTTTGGTTGTCCCTTCCTTACCACGAGTACGACCGTCGAAACGGCACACAGACACATAACACTACCATCACACAAAATTGTAAAGCAGCCCCCTTTCACATCATTCATAATTGTGGCTGTAATGTTTTGTGCAATAAACTTCACAAATGTTCTTGCCTGTTTATCGCTACAATGGTTTTTCATAAGATGTACATCAAAATTCACAGTCTGAAGTCTCAAAAATTCAACAAACTCTGTAAAGGGCATTTCACGTTGTGCGAGGTGGAAAGCTGTTACAAATAGTTTGCTTAATTTTGCTGTCTCTCTTTCATTAAGATGTATCATCCCCTTTTCAATTTCTGACTGGCCTGGTTTAATTTCTGAAGCATACTGGGCACCTAGTGAACCTGTCACAAAGTGATTAGGCTTTCCATCTCTTCCAACCGGACGGCCAAACTCCATACAAACTTTGCAAAATAGCAGATTCCTTTCCCTGTCACAAATAAGCCATTTACTGTATTTTGGCGGGGGCCAGCTTTGGGGAATGCCTCGTGTCTGTTTCTTGTCATCTTCAGTCTTACATGTTTGGACACATTCAGCATCGCTATCGGCAGTTTCAGTTTCATTAGTGGCAGATACGTTACACTTACTACAAGTGCCTGTCGGCTCTGTTGAAGGCCAGTTAACACTTTCAGAGGTTTCATTTATTTTGGTCTGCCTGGGCTTGAAGAAATTTAAAATTGTTTTGTATTTCTTCTCGGACATTTTAGCTAGATCTATCGTCTGCTTCGTCGCATGGTGTAAACATCCTGTCCCAGAATGCAAAGAATGACGTCCTGTCATGCGCAATTGAAATCAAAATGGCGGCGCCCATGAGAATGACAAATAACAGACGTTGCAAGATTTCATTATGGGATACGTTTTGAATGTCAGAATGTCAAAAGTAAACATTTTGTCAGTTTTATTAAAAAATGAAGACGGTAGGGTGAATTGTAAGCGTGCCATTATGGCACATCTGAGTAATTGTATCCGTGCCATTTTCAAATTACCCGTGCCCTCGGCACGCAAATAAGGGGAATTTCGATCCCTGAAGTCTATGTCAACACTCATCAAATATTTTAACAAGTAAAACTGAAACAGAAAATTGGGGTTTATTCATCATTATCACCTGGATGCATTTATGAACATGCAATGGTATGTTTACATGAATAGAGAAAACTATAATCTTACTTTTTGTAACACTAGATACATTTGAGAATATGTTTGTGAATTTCATCTGAAACCTACCTGACAAGGACGGGGTACTGCTAATTCCTGTCCTGGGTTTCCGTTGAGATCGCTCAAGTTCACGGATCTTTGGTTCCAAAGCTTCGATTATCAAATATGTTCCCATGTGTCAAAAAACTGTAGCAAGTATACAGACTGCCATTTCTTCTACCTTACTCTCATAGACTTTACTTCAAAACAACAACAAACGTTTGAACAAAGATGGCGGCATTTCAAACAAAGACTTATGGGTACTCAATTATATTTTTTTCAATTCTGTTGTAAACATGCCAATAGTCGGCTTACCCTTTCAGCAGCGCTAATTAATCAGAAAAAGTGCGCCCGGTAAAGTGCATTACTCTCCTCATTCATTCCAAATCAAGCGCTTCCGGTTTCGGGACAACAATTTTAGTACGTGGTCTGACTGCCAGGTGGGCAGAATTTCTTCAACCTAAACAATGAAACAATAAGAACGGTGGATGTATTTCCCGTAATAAAGTACTCCAGCAGTGTAAACTTTTTTCAGATTTTCCGATGCGTTGATCGTATGATGACCGATCCAATTTGATCCTATTTCTGTGTTTTTTACCTCGATATTTAATCATATTAAGAAACAATGTGATGTTTGATAACCTATTATTTTAAAACCACACAGCGTATATCCCTAAGATTTTATACGCAATTAACACTGCATGCAATACAGCGATTACAACTCCCTTGCTGTAACCGTGTTTGGTGATATAAACGTACACCTGTTTTTTTGTCATCATTCAGTTGATGGTCAGTTGGTGAATTTATAACAGGGATAATTAGTGGTAACATCACTCAGATTACCCGACAAAGATTCCCATTTAGCATTTCTCATGTCTGCACTAAATATTCAACATTTTAAATTAAGGTCTTATGTACTACATGTTATGTAATATATGCATGGAGGTGCAGCAAAAGGAATTATCAGCTGAGCAAAAAAAAAAAACACAGATAAAAGGATTAACCGATAACACGCTAATTGATTTAGCACTTTTATCTTGCATGACGTATTTGATTTAAACATATTTTTATTCATGAAGATGGATTGGTGAACAAGCATTACTGCTTATATTAACACTGCTCCCATGCAACATATAATACAACATGAAATGGAAGATTTGACGTCATCGATACTGACCATTGCATAAATATAATATTTTTAAATATATATAAATATATACAGATTACATGAAATACAACTATTCTCTAATAACGTTAGAGAGTTACAGTTGTGTGTGTCTAACAAGCCATTGTAGAAATATAAATCAATCATGAGAAGGTTGTTGAGTAAATTTAATTATTTTCCTGAGAAACTTTGAAGCGTTGTGTCTTGGTTATATAATCGTGACGGATTCAACTATTTTCTGGTTTACACAGGAAGTAAGTTCTTTGTTTTCCTTAAGAATGGTATCCAGGTTATAACCGGTAGTGTAAAAATACATATTAAGTCTTATCCGAGTATAGTTACTGCAAGTGAGGAAATAGTGTAGGGCGTTTTCACTCTGATGTCCACAAGAACATGGGCTGTCTATTAAATGTCTGTTATACTTATTGTCGTTTAGGTCGCTACATCCGAGCCTGAGGCACGACGTATTTGTCAAAAGGGCCCTGTCAAAAGGTAGGGTTTATGTTTGAAGAGTTACTAACGTATACTGAAGAGGTTTATTAACGTGAAGTAGACATTTGTGATGTTTATAACAACAATAAGGGCGGCACGCAGGGATTTTCAGGCCGACCGCATTTGGAGAACAGACATAATCTGTGATGATAAGCATGCAGGTAACACTAAATTCCCAAATTGAAAATAAAATAAATTGTACAACGAAGTGATATAACGTAGAAAATACCAGATTTTAGAGAATATTTTACTTAATTCATGATATGGCAACAACAATAAAATTAATTAAAGTGACATCTTAGCACAAATTATTTTAATCATCATCATGATAAAACAATTTCATAATACATGTACATAGTACGCATCCAGTCTACACTGTAGTTTCATTAAGTATGAAACTGCGTCTGCGAACACAATTACACTTATTCTGCCTGCAGACAAATCATCAGTGGCATTGTAACATATATTTATGTTGTATACTAGCCACATAAAGAAACTGTGCAATGTCAAAATATGATCCCAGGTGATAAGTACGATAACAATGTCAAAGGTACATATAAACTTTAATGGAGGGATCATGAGACCATAACAAGTTGGGAGAATTTCAATTGAAAAGTCAATCACAATGATGTCACGAGTCCACAAGCGGGACAGGGGTCAAACGACCATGTCACAAGCTCAATAACGGGTATGTCCACCATCGGCATTGAGAACAGCAGTGCATCGACAACGAATAGAGCCTATCAAACGTGCAAGGAAGGCTTGTGGGATGTTACGCCAGATTCTTTCAAGTTCTGTTGCAAGGTCAAGGATGTTATCTGGCGGATGAGGAAGACGGCGTAGACGTCGATCCATCTTGTCCCAAACATGCTCTATCGGGGAGAGATCCGGTGAATTTGCTGGCCAAGGCAGTAAGTCAACGTTGTGGTGTTGCAAGAAATCCATAGCAACCCTTGCCGTATGAGGGCGGGCATTGTCCTGTTGGAATGTTAACCCAGGGCCATGATGTTGCAGAAAAGGAATTGCCACAGGTCAAAGAATCTGATCCCTGTAGCCCACACCAGTTATGTTGCCCTGAACAATCACCAAAGGAGTTCTTTGGCATGCTGTTATTCCACCCCAAATCGTCACAGAACCACCACCAAAGCGATTCCTCTCCAAGAAGGCCTGTGCATAACGTTCTCCCACGCGTATATAGGCACGTTGACGTCCATCACTATGGGAAATGTTAAACTTGGACTCATCTGTAAAAACAACATTTCTCCACTAAAACAAGGGTCTGCGGACATGATTTCGGCGAGCTTGTCGATGACGTTGTGTCATGATAGGCCGTATGGCGGGACGTCATGGTCTGATCCTGTGATGACGTAAACGTTGTCGAACTGTGTTGGGGTAGATACGGCGAAGTCCTGGGATGGTTCGGGCAGTCATCACTGCAGTCTGAAACCTGTGGCGAAGATGGGTCACCCTTATCCATATGTCCTGCCTTGGCGTTGTTACACGTGGACGTCCAGAACGTGGCCGATCGATGACATCATTTGTGTTCTGGTAGCATCTCACCAGTGCAGAAATGGTGTTCCGGTGGTAGTGGAAATGTGCAGCCACTTGTCATTGAGACATTCCCCCTCGGACCATCTCAATGGCCTCATGATGTTGTGCAGACGTGAGCCTTTGCATGCTATGCGTTTCAATATTCAATAGCCGTTTAATTTTTTTAACGATCGCAAGGGCAGGGGAAATTTAGATTTTAAATTTTTTGTATGCACAGTTTCTTTATGTGCAGTGTTCACGAATAGCGTCTGACCCTCTGACAAATCCGGCAGATTCGCCAACGGTCAGACAGAAGTCTACAACCCGCCGGCCACAGTGTCTGACTGTATATTTCACAATGACTTTGACTGAAGTTGTTTTATGTGACATGAGACACTTGTTTGCTGTTTATAAATCTTATGTTTGTTAATAATTTCAATGTCAATTATAAGAAATATTAAATCTGAAATGTGTGTTTAATTTTATTCCATGGGTCCTGTGCATTTTCAATGGGTCAGACAGACATCTGAAACTTACAGGACCCAATGTTCTGTGACTTTGAAACACCATTTGTGAACACTGATGTGCCTAGTATATGTTGTATTTATTGTCACAGCGGATATTTATACCTTTATATCATTATAGAACAAGTTTTATGGATAACAACTTCTTTATTTCGTTGTTATTGTACGTCTCAACAATGATTGTCAAAACAAGCTAAGTGAGTTCAAATTCATTGATTTTCATTATGTAAGTGAACAAGGGGTGAGTTCGTGTCACGTATTTCGTTAGGTAGTTCAGAAAGCTAATCACTTAAAACAACATGCACCGTCAACCCTCCAACATCAAAGGATTTTCACTGTAATAACAAAGGTCTACTTCCAGGTAAGACATCACTGAATACACCCACATTCTGTCGTGTAAACACAGCCACCTTCCTTCGAGGATTAACCGATAATATTTGATTTTTTAACAGAATTGTGGACATGTAAAAAATTGTCAGGTGTATTATCTTTGGTGTCCAATGAAACACGGTCACATGACATGGGACAGGTTTTTGGGCAGCTGCAGATGAATGGCATATTGTTCCATTATGTGGATACTGATGGATACATTTCTCGAACAAGGTAATAGCCCATTAGTTTGTTATAACGTTAGTTGTTTTTAAGTTTGATATCTGTATTTTGTTTTTATTTTT